CAGGCGACGGAGGAGAAGGAGGAGATGGAGGAGCTGCAGGCCTACAACCGCAGGCTGCTCCACAACATCCTGCCCAAAGACGTAGCCGCCCACTTCCTGGCGCGGGAGAGGCGCAACGACGAGCTGTACTACCAGTCCTGCGAGTGCGTGGCCGTCATGTTCGCCTCCATCAGCAACTTCTCCGAGTTCTACGTGGAGCTGGAGGCCAACAACGAGGGCGTGGAGTGCCTGCGGCTGCTGAACGAGATCATCGCCGACTTCGACGAGGTAACCGGCGCCTGTCGTTCGCCGAGAGGGCTTTAACACACTGGTTGGGCACCACCGGTGCAGCAAACTGTAATAGGTTGGAGAAAATATTGACCATCCATTCGCTTTCTAACGACATTATCCAGTATGGCCTTGATTGCCTGTTCACTCCACCAGGTCCGATTCATTTCCTTAGTGCTGTCTGTGTGGAGTCTGCATGTTCTCCCTGTGTTCATGTGGGTTTCCTCCCACAGTCCAGAGACGTGCTGGTAAATGAATTGGCTTCTGTGACAGTTAGCCCTGGTGTGAGTGTGTGTGTGTCTGTGTCTATGTGTGTGTGTGTGTGCCCTGTGCTGGACCCCAGCTTCAGCCTGTTGCTTGCTGGGACAGTCTCCAGTGGTTCGAAAATGGATGGCTGGTGCATTTAAACAGGGGGGCACTGTGATTAAAGGGTAATAGTTCCAGGCTTGAGAGGGCTGACGGGAAGGTCTGGAGTGCCGTAGCTCTGCGGTGCTCCCCAGAGACCTGCCAGCTCCCAGCCTGCCTTAGTGACCCAGTCCCTCCGTAACCCTCCCCCCCCGCCCCGCAGATCATCAGCGAGGAGCGGTACCGGCAGCTGGAGAAGATCAAGACCATCGGCAGCACCTACATGGCCGCCTCGGGCCTCAACGACTCCACCTACGACAAGGAGGGCAAGTCGCACATCACGGCTCTGGCCGACTACGCCATGCGGCTCATGGAGCAGATGAAGTACATCAACGAACATTCCTTCAACAACTTCCAGATGAAAATCGGTAGGGAGAGAGCCGGGCCCCGGGCGGTTCTGCCCCTGGTCCTGTCGCTGCTCAGTTGGGCTCGTTGATCTGGATCCGACTGCTTTGTCGTGCCTTAGTTGCTGATGAAACGTACTCCTTGATCCACCAGGCCTAACTGGGCTCAGCCATGCCCCCGCTACAGGTGCGAGGCTGTTTACAACCGACTTCGTGCAGCGCTGCAGATGTGATCTCACTCGAACTTTACACGATTGTTAATTGGCCAATTAATTCACTGATTCGATTATGTGATCAAGCAGTTGGTTGTAGCGATAGGTCCTGTTCATTGTTCATTGTGGTATATATCACTGGCATTGATGTTCTGTAGTTGAGGCTATTTTTGATAGAGTATTTACTCTGCCATTGACCCCTCTTGCTCGGCGAGCTGAAGGGTTATTGTCCGCAGTGTCAGATTCTGTCTGCGTTGGGCACTGTCCAGCAGGCCCAGCGTGGAGCAGACGTGTACACAGACTACTTCAGTGCCGTTTGTCCCTGTATTCTCACTGTGCAGGGCTGAACATCGGGCCCGTGGTGGCGGGGGTGATCGGGGCGCGGAAGCCGCAGTACGACATCTGGGGCAACACAGTGAACGTGGCCAGCCGCATGGACAGCACCGGGGTGCCCGACCGCATCCAGGTACCCCCGATGCACTTCACATCCGAATCCCAAATCCCTGCAGCTTCTCGTCATGCGGCTGAATTGCCAAATTGAGGGCTCACGGGGATGGTGCCGCCGAATGGATCGGGAGGGGTTACGGGTTCGTGAAATCTCCTGAGCTCCAGAAATCCAGAAAGGGACGATGGCGGCCGGGGAAGGGGTGAGGGTCTACAGCCCCCAGTCTTCTGAAAGCACGCTGCAGTCTGCGGGCTTGCCCTGAGCCGACTCTGCTGACCGCAGGCTGTCCTCTGGTGGCTGAGCAAAATTCTACAATTTGCATTTCCAGTTGTGTTGTGAGGGCTCCACCTGCTGGTGGCATCGGGCCATCGCACATTTTGACACTGTGCTCCTGGATGGGGCTGCCGGGCAGTGGGGAGGGTCAGAAGCACTGATCATGGGGAAGGAAAGTCGTCCGGGTTACGTGCCTCCTCTGTACTGTCTGTATGCTGTATGAAATAAATGATGCATAAGAGCCCGTCTGAAAGCTCAAGCCTCTTTGTTTCTGCCTGTACCCGCAGGTGACCACCGACCTGTACCAGGTGCTGGCGGGGAAAGGCTACCAGCTGGAGTGCCGCGGCGTGGTCAAGGTGAAGGGGAAGGGCGAGATGACCACATACTTCTTGAACGACGGCCCCCAGAACAGTTAGCAGTGAGCAGGGAGGGGAGGGGGCGGGGAGGCGGCGCAGCGGACCGCTGAGGAGAACCCCGATCACTTGAACAAAGAGGCCTTGAAAGCGTTCGGGACGGCCCAGAAGGAAACATGAAATATTTCTGTTTTTTTGGTGTGCGTTTGTCCCATTTTTGTCGGCACAAATTGAAGGAGACTCTGGGGGGGGGGGGTTAAGCCTCCATCACTTGAGGCTACTTGAAAGGTGCAAAATCGTCTTTTTATAAACGAGGCTTTTTCGCCTTGGAAGGAAGGACTGGACCACAAGTCTTTTGTGTCTCCATCACGTTCGCAGTTCCAGGACAGTTCTCAACACAGGTACTTGTATTTTTGGGTCAGTCTCTACATTATTTATTTATCTTCAGGAAAGTTTTTTTTTTTAATCTACAAACTCCTACAAATGTGTGTATTGTTCAAAACAAACAACAAAAACAACAACCAAAGAACGGAATATTTAACCTGAGGAGCTTGAGAAACATCGGCTTCATTTTCACCTCTGCTGAATAATCGCTCTTTAATCTGGTAATCAAAATTGTTTTTTGGTGTTTGTTCTGCAAACCCCTCTTTGCTCAATTTTGTTTTTCTTGTGTTTTATTTATTTTAGGTTTTGTCTTTAGAAACTGACCAAGTAATAACCACTTGATATTCTTCTTTGGGTCAAAGAAAAATTATTTTTAATTATTTGTGTTCTGATGGGCTCTTGAGGATGAAGGAAGTCTGTTGTTTCTTGTTTTGTTTTTCTTTTCCTTGAAACAGAAAGATGTATGTACATCAGAAACACCTTTCAACTTGCTTTTCACACTGTTAAGCCGTTGCGGCCTGCTAGGCCCCGATTCAACAAAGAAGCCTGGGACTCGATTTTATTTCCCACCCCGCAACTCCTCCCAAGGCCTCCTGGACACGATGTGCGGGACTCTGCCCAGGCGCAGTCCTTCAAGTACACAGGAGCAGAGCCTGCGGCATTTGTTTATACGTGCTATCAGTGACCTTTTCTTCTTCTCTTTGCAAAGAAGTATTTTTGGTACAAAACTAAAACAGGAAAAAAAAACCCACAAACACTTGAGAGAAGCGAAGACTCCAGTCTTCTGTCCTCTGAACTGTTCTATTGCATCGGACACCGCGGTACCAGACAGTATATAACCTTCTGATTCTTATAGAGAAGACATTTTTTTAAGAAAAGAAAAAATATACATAAATATATATAAATATATTATGACTGAATACTGTGCTTTATAATCTTCAAGGGGCGTAACTCTTTTCACTGTGAGGTTTATATGATACAACACCAAGTTGCTCTCTAGCCAAACTTCCTACTCTGAAGCATGACTGATTGTGGTAACTCTACATTTGTTTCTTCCTAGTTTTCCATGTTGGGTATTTTTATCACCTCTATTAACCTTTTAATTGTTATTAATGTTATTATAATTACTGTTATGATTACTCCATTCCAACTTAAAGCATCAAAGACCAGAACGCCCCCGGCGAAAGACGGGGTGTCGCCCTCGCCCTCCTCGGTGGCCCCTGGGAGGAGTGTGGGGTGCCTGTCCGTCTCGCCCTCCCGGGAGGCTGAACAGACTCGGCCAGGAACAATCAAGGAGACACTTCCTGTCAGAGAGGAAGTGGATGGCGCGTGTGTATAGCGGGACACCCCAAACCATATTATCCCTACCCCTGGGGGCCCCGTAAAGATGCGGCCCTGCGATTAGCGATGCACGGGTCTGAACGTTTTCCCCCGGTCGAGCCTGCGCGCTCATTCTGCTCTTTTGCCCTTGCTGTCACACCTCACTGTGGCCAATCGGGGTATTGCTGTCCTGGGATGGGGTGGCACAGTGAATGCACAGCCGCAGAGCAGGGCGCAAACGAGGACAGATGATGTCCGATGTGGAAGAGTACAGTTTGTGCGCCTGTGTGTAGGGACGGAGGTTTAAGATGGTGCGAAAGGGCTGGGGGCCACTGTCCAGTGGGTTAGACAGGTCACGGTAAATCAGCACCACCTTTAACAGGATTTGAAAGGAGGGTTAAATTAGTCCATTTGTGCTGATCGCGCCTCATACTAGTATCTAACCAGGGATGAAGGTAAACCAGGAGGCCCTGTGACCCCAGACACAGCTGCAGGATCCTGGGTTTGATTCCCAGTGCTTGCCTGTACAAAGTTTGCATGTTCTTCCTGTGATCACACAGGTCTTTTCCAGGTGCGCTGGTCACCTCCCCTCTCCCAGAGACCCATGGTCTGGGTTTGAGCGGTTGCTCAGTCCCTCCCCCCCCTCACTGCTGTGCCCTGTCAAGAGTGGCTTTCGTGCTTTTGGGCTTTGGTGGAACTTGAATGCAGCTGATCTTGAATTGTCTGTCTAATTCAGTGGTTTGTTATTACTGTTACGATTATTCCATTCCAAATGAAAGGATCAAAGACCAGTACATCTAAGGCAGGAATCTCCAACCCTGCTCCTGGGGAGCCCCAGTCCTGCAGGATCTGGGGGTCACCATTAAACCACCCGTGTCTAAAGAATATGGGATCAATTCCCTTGTGATCAATTAAACAGGTGATTAGTTGAAAAAAGAAATTTAGCAATCATGCAGAACTAAACTCTTATATTATCTTCAGCCTTCAAGGACTAGAATTCCCTGATCAGATTACTTGTCTGATTCATCAGCGGATCACAGGTGATCTATACATCTAATAGGCTGAGGTTCCACAAAGCCAGGATTGGGGACCCCTGCTCTAAGCTAGCCCACAGGACACTGGCCATCACGCCTTAATGTTAGTATTTTGGTTGGGATGGAGTGAATGGGGATTTCTGCTAAAACCCAAGGGACTCTGTGCATTTTACTGTAGTGCCACCTAGTGTTCAACGAGTTGAGTTCCCACGAATTTCAAGACAAGACGAGAAGAGGTTTGGCATTTCTATACAGAAACAGTCATATGATGAAATAAGACAATGAGAAAAAAAATAAAAAAGACGTTTTTCCCCCTTGAAAAAAAAGGGTTGGTTTGTGTAGTCTGTTTGGGTGTATCTTATTTAAAAAGTGAATGAAGAAAACTCACGGGAAGCCAAATTCATCATGTTCTTCTGTGCCGGCTGAAGTGGATTCTGGGATATTTACTATACATCAGTAGACAGGTATTAACTTAAGGACAGCAGTCTAAGTCATGAGCATCGCATATGTTTTCATGAATCTTTTTGTTTGGTATCAGAAAAGAATTGGAATACAGATTGAGAACCCAAATATAAGGGTCTGTTTCATTCTTTGAAAGGATTGCTTAACATTTTGGAAGGGTCATTTGCTGGGAAAAGTGACATACAAATCAACACAACAGGGAGATATGCTGAAAAATTCTCCCAGGGTTCCTTGGTAGAAAACCAAGAGTCATCAGACGTCTCCTGTGACACTAAGACTCCTGGCTTAGTTATCCCACGCCTGTAAGGAACAAGTCTCAACCTAGAGATTCTACACGTACAATCAAAAAGCTTCCTCTTGGTAATTGTGCAGGGCCTGACACAGATGCTTGCTTATTCAGATGGTTGGTATTGACACTATAGACTAACAGGCCCCAGAGAAGCATGATGCCCTGGAGGCAAATCAGGATTTCAGAGCCGAGTGGAGACGAGTTAATCAATGCCAAACATTGCAGAATGTAGATGGTTAATTAAAGTGCTGCCCTGATACGATGACAAGTGTGACAGAACCTGGGAAAACTAGAATGCACCTGTAAAATGTTTTAATTAAACACTGCTCTAATTTGCACGGCCTCTCCTGATTTAAACACTATCAACGATCTGTTGCAGGACTAGTGCACAACCGGTTGAACGCTGGTTTAATTGTGAGAGAGAAGACTGTGTTCATTAATGAAACACAGGAACTTGAAGTAGAGAAAGTAGTGAAAGGTAAGCATTGAAGGAGACATTGTGATTTTTAATGATGTCATTGCTGGCAGGATGCCTCAGGGTAAGTCACGGAATTGCAGCAGTCGCTGCCTTCAGGCCCAGAGCTGAGTCTGAGTCCCGATCCGTTTCGAGAAGTTTGCATTGTTCGGGACCAGGACCGTTAAAGAGGTGGCAAGGCTGCATTATTGGCACTTCAAAGTTAAAATACTTAAAATAGTGCTCTTCCTATACCCCCGGCAACAGTAGATCCTTCTCATTCTCCTAGGAGTTAGCCAACAGCGTTTAAAACTACTGTCCTGCTGCTCTCTTCTTCACACACACCTAGACAAGGGCTATCTGTGTCCGGCCTGGTGTGCTCTGGTTTTTATTCCTACCTGTGTAGTGCATTCTTATTTTTCTTAGATAGGAATAGCGAGTTTTAGTTTTTTTCAAAGTTGCTTATTCAAGACATTCACTTAAAGGTATACTTAGATTCAATACAGTGTAAGTTAAGTTGTTTTGAGACCTGGATGAATCACTTTGTGAAAATAATACTAAGGGAATGTCTTTCTATAAAGGAACAAGTAATAGGAGCCCTCACACCTGAAGAAGGCTCCACGGCCGAAACGTGTTTTCTTTCTTCTTTTTTTTCAGCATGGAATAAACCTATTACTTGTTCCTTTGCAGCCTAGGCATGCTGATGCAGCTAACCACCTGAACTGCCATGTCTTTGTATATGCTAGTATGGCCCTCTTGATGTCGTACTTGAACTTCATGTCATACCTTCTCTTTCCTCTAGAGGGCAGCAGTGGCTCTTCCTTTTGTTTTCTATGAGGGTGTGTGCGCGGTGGCGCAGTGGGTAGCATTGCAGTGTGTTTGCATGGGTTTTTGTCCAGGTGCTCTGATTTCCTCCCACAGTCCAGGTTTTATTAGTTTTTACCAGAGCACCCAGCTCGAACACGTGGAGAACATACAAACTCCACACAGACAGCACCCCAGGACTAGAATTAAACTCGGAGCCCCAGCACTGTGTAGCAGCAATGCTGGCCACTGTGCTGCCATGCCACTATTTGCAAGAACATGATTAATGAATTGGAGAGCACCATGTTCAAACAGCTTTAAGGGAGTAAAACGGCAGTTGCTTTAAGTGCACACTGCCAGAGCACAGAGATTTGACTGTGTTGAGGACTAAGGGAAAGAAGAAAACGTGAAGACGCAGGGAGTCAGAAACAGGGTGTAAATGTCAAGGAAGGGGTGTCACTGTCGCCAGCGAAGTCAGACAGGTTGCAGGAGGTCGGGCACAACAGACTTCAGGACAGGAAGAGGTGTCGTTGCTGAGGTGCGAGACACAGGAAGCTGCCTTCTGAGAGTCTGACTCATCGTCTGAATATGTTCCGCAACACCTGCGACTGGTCAAGCAAAGTGAAAACCGCTGGTGGGTGTTGGTGTGTCTATCACAGCGGATCGGAGCCTGGGAGTGACTCTCCCAGCGATCCGAAGAAGCAGAGGGAAAGCAGCCGATCGAGCTGAGACAAGACCATCCCTGTCTTGAGTAATCAAGCATTCCTCCCAGGCCTGAAAGTGATTGGTTAACCCAAACTCTATTTCTGTGTATACTACTATCTTACTGGTGCAATGGGGAAGGCAAACAGATAGTCCTTGTTCAATCTAAAGCCCCTTCCGGACTTGAGTGTGACGGGTCTCCCCTTGAGGGTTTCAGTCTTTTCTGAAACCAGCAAGATATTTGAAAAATGTACATATATCTGATGCATTTGTTCTTAAGATCACAAGAAAGGGTACAAACCAGAGGAAGTCACTCAGCCTATCTAGTCTGTTTGGTAATGGGCTCTTTTATTAAAATGCACCTTAATTTTTCCAATTTCCAATTAAGACGGGAAACTCTTGAGCTTTTGAACCAAACACAGGGATTGCCCATTCTGGTCCTCCAAACCAGCAGGCTGGCAGTGGAGGGTTCTGGGTGGCTCTGGGTTCTGCAGTTGTGGGTCTGGGGGTCTCCAGGCGTTGGGGGGGGTGGTCAGTGTAGGCTGAACTCCCGATGGGTCATGGACATGCTCTTCACAAACCTGAACAGGACGACAGAGACGGAGAGCACGGCGGGGTGCAGGTCAGAGGGGCGCGGCGACACCCTGTTTCGGGGGAAAAATCAGAACCGAACGAGCGCTCCCACCAGCCCCTGCGTACTTCGTCATCTCGCTGTGTCTCTGCGGGAAGCGTCGTACCCGGGTCCACGGCTCGCTGCCCTCGCTGCCTGGCTGACCGCTCCCCGACAGCCACCAGCCATAGCGCTGGCTGTCCGTCAGGGGCGCCCGGTAAATCTGGTTAGGGGCTTCGGAGAGACAGCAGAGTCAGACCCTCCCTCCCACTGCAGTGCTGTCCGTCAGCCCCCTCCCACTCCCCCCTCATACTTTCTCCTTTATCAGGTTCAGGGCAGTGGGGGAGCTGGGGCCTGTCCAGGCAAGGGACAGGCAGGGTACACCCTGGAAGGGACGCCAGTCCATCGCAGGGCCCACACGCACGCGCACACACTCGCACCAGGACCAAGTTCCCAGAAGCGAAGTAACCTACCAGCGTGTCTTTAGACTACAGGAGGAAACCCCCCTGAACCATGGGGAGAACATGCAAACTCCACACAGACAGCACCCCAGAAATTGAAACCGGGGCCCCAGCACTGCAAGGCAACCATGCTGGCCACCGCACCACCCAAATTGCTCTTGGGGGGGCCCCCGATTTCCATCTTTTGGAAGCAGATAGCATGACACAAAAAAGGGGGGATTTTAGGGGCGCAGCCTACATCTTGGCGTCTGTGCCCGCCTGACCAGCTCCTGGTATCTCTCCTGGCTCCCGCGGTGCAGCTCGCAGCTGAGGGCCTGGTGTGGCGCCGGGTTGACTGGGGGGAGCGTGGTACCGCGCTGGCGCCCGCCCACGCCGTCGCCCTCTGCAGACACAGCCACACGGACAGAGGTCACAGGTCACATGGAGCAGAAGACGGCTTACTGTCCGATAACGATGTAGATAACTTCCTGGCCAAAATATTAGACCCCGCCCCCACCACCACCCCCAAGGAGAAATGAGTTGAAGATCTGAGAGCAGCTGGGACAGGCTGTGGCCTGAGGGACTCCTCGGGCATGAGAAGTGTCCACAGCCCCATCCCATCCCACTCCTGCAGCAGGACGGACTTCCTTCCTTCCTGGGTGAGAGGAGGGAGGTGGTGTGTGGGGACAGAACTGGACAGGTCAACTGGTTCCACTGGTTTCCAGCAGGACTGAGGTGCTGGAAGTCTGTCTCCTGCTCCTCCAACCCAACCCCCCCCCCCACACACACACACACTGCCCCCTGCTGGGGGGGTCTGTTCTTAGTATTAGGTAGCTCCTGGTATTTTGTCCAGCGAGTGTGAACATGAACGGCACTGCTAGGGGGACTGTACAAACTGTCTCCCAATCACACATTCTGCATCTAGAATGACAAGGCTGAAGCCAGGGGCGGTTCGCTCTGCGACCTGACTATTTTCTCCGCCTGTTCAGCGGCCCCTGCTCGGCGAGCACTAGAGCACCGCTAGCAGGCTCTCCGTGCTCCTGTCTGCTGACGTCACCCGCCTCGCACCCTGGGCAGCTCAAAGCTTCGCGTGGTCACACCGCGGCTGTGCACATTTACAGTCCTGTTCAGTGTGTTTAAACCACAACGATTCATAGCGGTCTCTCTCTCTCATAGATTCTCTCACGATACTGTACGGACGAACTCACACGAGTGAAGCTTTCCTACATCAGACTACGTGTATCATAGTAATCCAATCAGAAAGCGCCGCGGAATAACGCGATTAAATGTCCGGCACAGCACAGTATTTTAATTTGCTATGATCGTCTTATCATGTTAAGTTGATTTACCCTGATCATACTGTGTTTTCTGCAGCTGTGACAGACGCCTGGATCCAAATGGGTCCTGATATCCCAGAAATGTTATGCCAAAAAAGGTCATTTTTGTGCTGTCGGTACCAGAGCTCGGGTGCGAGTGTAAAGCTGTAGCCAATTCCTGGAATTCTCGCGCAACGTTTACCACGTAGCTATAGCAACAGACACCGGCCCACTGCTTGATTGACGTTGGTGTGGACCAATCACTGAGCCGGATTGTGCGCGTGCGTGACGGCAGGGTAGTTCTGGACTTTTTTTTTATTTTATTTTTTTGGTAGTTCTGGACTGTGTGCTTCCTGAAGTTCGGGGAAATCAATTTTCTATTGTAACAGCAAGTGTTTAAGTCACTGCTATTGTTTAAATGACGAATTTCCGAAATGTTCTTTAACTCACTCTGGCTTTGATCAAAACAGAGAATAATTCCTGATGTTTGCAAAAGTACAGACTGTACTTTTTATTTTTACAAATGTATGTACATTTGATGTACAAATTATATACAAGTACTTCGAAAACGTCGTGTTTCCGCTTGTTTGCCCGAGTCTGCTCGTCCGGGTGGTCTGGTCGGTTTTGTCGCTCGCTTTACAGTGCAAGAATGCAGAAAGAGGGAGGAAATTCTTCTCCTTGTGCAAAGCAAAACGCTCAGGGTTGGCGCAGTCTCTAGCTTCCCGATCCAGTCACGGCCGCTAGAGGCGATGTGCAGTGCGCGATGCCCAGTCAGGTATATACTTGGACACAGATAAGGACCGTTCGTACGGAGGCCTAATTAAGGTAGTAACCCCGTCAGCCGTGATATCGAGCACGTGACACAACGCCGAGCACGAAAATGAGCAGATATAAACACCACAAGTGGCCGGAAGCATGGCCTTGCCGGGGACCTCTGCAGGCACGCAAATCTCACCCCCCGGGGCCACACAGCCCGAACCCAGATTATCAGAAAGGGGGATTCCCAACACCGCCACGAGCCCGTCCTGACGTCACCTCCCCCGTCACGACCGTACCTAAAATCTCTCCACCTCGTTTGCTTAACAAATCACCTCCGACTGCTAACGTTCGGATTGCCCGGGCGAATGTGTGCTTTGCAGAGGTGCTGGAGGAAGAGCTGAAAAGCGGCGGAGCCGAGGGCGCCCTGGGGCAGAGAGCCGTGGCCGAGGGGCGGGCAGGCAGGCACAGGGGGTGGCCTGAATGCGGTCATCGCAAAGACAAATATCCGTGTGCTGCCGGATCTGGCTCTCTAACCGCACGCCGGCGCACCTGAATACATTTTAGGAGAGACTCGGGTTTCAGGTGCACCGCCTGTGACAGCTGACACGTTCCTCGTGTGTCTGAATTGTGAGTTGCTCAATTTACAAGAGGAAAAGCCGGGGAGAAGTGAAGGGGCAATAAAATAAAAGCAGGTGATTCCTTCAAGGTTTTGCAGTTGCCCATTTTATTGCGCGTCCCAGGTGTTTCTAGTCGCTATGCTCCGTCTCCTGCTAGCCGTGCACTAAGATAGCCGGCCTCTTGTGCCTCCAGCGTGAAACACGCTCCCTTCGAATTCCTCCAGGGGCGATGTAGTTTTACAACGCCCCCAAAAGGCACCGGGCAGGGGCTGCGCGTTGGAGCCGACACTCGCTGTCAGAGAGTGTAAGAGATTGGTCTCGGCGTCCCCGGGCCTCAGCGTGGTAGAGGCGAGCGCGGGTGCGGCCTTGATCCCATTCACAGCCAGTAAATCTGACCACCAGAGCGACTAGATTCTGACATCGGAGACACTCCTCCATCTATAATTCATGCCCATTGGGTGGATGGGACTCGTTAACTGTACCGAGGCCTTTGTGACCTTTAATTAAATGAAGAAGGAAATGTTCTCCGCACTCCTCTGCTAATCGGATACGATGACGACACCCGATTCCTAGGCTACATTCAAAGAACATCACCCACTTAACCAAATAATGCATCAAACCTAGACAATTAAGATCGGTTGCAGGAGCTCTCTTTATTGTAACTTATTTATACTAGATTGGGTTAAAGTATAAGGGAAGCAAGCTGCATGTTGTTATTATTATTGATATTATTAATAATAATAATAATGATGGCGGGGGCCTTAGGACCCGGGAGAACACTGAGTTAATAATTGCACCTGTTGCGAAGCCGGCGGGTGAGCTGCAGTGCAGACAGGAACAGCTCGCCTCCTCCGGCTTGACACTTGAAGAAATCGAAAGTCGCCGGCACCCCCGCGGTCCCTCATCGCCGGTACGAGAGCAGGTGACGCCCCGTGCACTGTCCTGCCCCCCCGATACCCGTGAAGGGAGAACTGCCCCCCCGCCTCGGGACCGGCTGTGGGAGCGGCTTACAGGTAAGTCGGGCTCTAGCGACGTCTTCATCAGCGCGCGATCGTGTCAGGGTCGGCTCCGCTTCCGCGCGTGTGCGCAGCTCCTTCCGCCCCACAGCCCCGGGGCTGAAGACAACCTGCTCCCAGTCAAGAAGTCGAGGACTCCGGCCGCCGGCCAACTTCTCCGAATTGCCGCTTTGCGGGGCTTCCGCCCGAAGGTGCGTGACTCCCTGTCCTGGGGTGGGGGGTATAACTGTATCCCACACGTAAGAGTGGTGAGCCGTGATACAGTCTGAGTGGTTCATGAAAACGAGTGTTTGTACTAAAACGCGAAGTGTTTCGGGTGGCCCGCGGAGAGCTCCCGAGGTACCGGCGCCTCGGTTAAGTGGCGGCAGCGATGAGCTCGGCCGCCTCGACTCCAGGAAGAGAAATCTGGAACTGGGCGATCGCGGGGGTGACGCGTGGGTCTCGAGGCTCTCTCGAGCCCTTCGCGCTGGCTCGCGGCCGCGTGCTGTCCGCCGGGCGGGCAGGTTGAGCGAGGCCCCTGATATCCCGGCTCTTCCAGCGCCTTGGAAGCGATCGATCACATCGATCACGATCAGGTGGCGCTGGGAAAGTGAGGCGTAGCGCCTTGAACTCGTCGTCTTGGCACAGTAAAAACGCCGTAATTGATCATTCAACTCTTTGAGGCGTCTTATAATTTTGCTGCGCTCGGCGGGGGGGGGGGTTGTATTTTTAGCTTGCGCTTCGCTTTTTTTCTTTTTCTTCATTTAAAAACGAATTTCCTGTTCGTGCGCGGAGGCTAGTGCTGAGTGCTGACGCGAGCTGTGTGGCGTTATAAATGAGGTGTTTTCGTTAGAAGACGAACACCTTGCGGCGGCAGGCTGCCCCGGAGAGATCGACTGAATTCAGTGAACTGGATCTGAATGAAGATCCGCCAGCGACCGTGCGAGCTACACGAATCTCCTGGAGCGCGTCTCCAGCCTCTCGGAATGTAGTTCAGCGAACAGGAGTCGAGAAGCAACTCGACCTGTGCCCCCCTCCTCCAGAAATAAACAGACGCTCAAACACCCTGTCCCTTAAGACAAACAAACACCCGAAGGGCTGTAGAAGATCCCATACAGCCCGCGGAAGAATGTGATTCACGTTTCGGATCCGACCCTTGTCAGCGCACGACATCGGAGCCGAATTTCTTTACTTTGAAAACCAACCAGAAGCGCCCGGTTCGGGTCGCGAGGTGCAGCGGGTACACCCTGGATGCGTGTCCCGGACGTATCCGGTTTGATTGTGTTATCAGCACGTCAGCAAAAGGCCGAAGGTGTTGTTTCGGGCTGATATCCCAGCAGGCAGAAAGGTATTCACGGCGCGATCCCACTTTGTAGAGGAATTCGTGTGGGTGAAGTGGTGTAACTGAGGGTATCTGCTTGTGTTTCTGAGAAAAGACGGAGGTTTGTTTGTTTGTTTGTGTGTGTGGGGGGTTCGAGGCCCATGTATTATCCGTCGTTTTTCGAGCGCTGCGGCTCCTTTGTATCCCGTGGAAGTCCCTGGGACTGAAGTTAAATGTTTTCGTGGTCTCCTGTTCGATGAAGCAGTTCGGACCCGGGGCCAGGAGCGGGCGGGGCACGCCTCCGGAAACGCGCTGAGTGACGGCTGGCGGCCGCTCGCTGTCAGGTCACAGAGCGGGCCCGGTCGTTTGTCCCTGAAGCGCCGCGGACGCGCTTCGTCGGGACTGTTGTGTCGGCTGACCTCGCGGCCGTGGCCACGCGCCGGGCCGCACGCGGCGCTTGGGCAGCACCTGCCGGCGGGGCCGCTCGGAAGCTCGTGCTCCGCCGGCGTTTTCAACCCTTTGCCAGCCCGCTCCGCCCTCTGCTGTTGAATCGGTCTGTTGGTTCGATAGGGCAGAAGAAGAGGGAGAATAGAAATAATTCTAGTTCTGGGAAATTAGGGGGATGCGCATGTAAAACTACCAACAGGAGCCACCTCTTTTTACGTTAAGGGTGGTGGGAGTGTGGTACAAGCTGCCCAACCATGTCGTTCAAGCCTGTACACTGGCATCTTTCAAGAAATGGCTTGGTGAGATTCTCCAATTAGGACTGGACTGGACTCCAATTAGGACTGGAGGCATTACTTTACACAGAGGGTGGTGGGAGTGTGGAACAAGCTCCCCAGTCGTGCTGTGTATTAACATTTGCTCCCGCAGTCCGGAATGAAGAGGGTTCTTCAGTTACATTTTATTTGATTGAAAAGCCTGAGAAACTAAACAGAACAGTGCTGTTTACTGTCAGCAAAGCACACACCTGTAGCTGGGTCACATGCCCATGTCTTCCCAAAGCAACAGGGCAGCCAGGGAGACAGCGTGTCTTTAACTGCCCCAGGGGAGAGCCTCTGGAGCCGGCTGTGGATTGGCTGGTGTGCGGAACGCCAGCTAACCAGGTGGGAAAACAACATCCCCTTGCGATCTGTGTGAGCAGAGCTTTGTTTTTCCAGGATTTCCGGCGCGTTACTTATTAAACAGGGACAGTGACGGGGAAAGTGCTGAGAAACTGGTCTCTGTTGTTGTGTGCTCTGGTGTGGGCAGAGACAGGAAAGGCATGAATGGCCCTGCAGGAACTATGCTAGCGCTGGGGCACAGGCTCAGCAGAGAGTACAGGCTCGGCAGAGAGCGCCC